TGCCAGAGGTGCTTCCAATTCCAGTTAAGATATGATCCTTTACCACAGCCCATAGTTGTGTATCACCGCTTCTTTCACTACTCCAGTTTTGGTAGTATAGTATTACCCTTCCAAGCAAGTACCCAACACCATTCCATATTAGGATTTATACGCACAATTTATTGATCATCTTTCCAAGCAAGTACCCTACAAGTTGGGTGTAGGGATGTTGGTATTGCCGAATATGGAGGTAGTAGGATGTTGGTATTGCCCTGGGTCACCCCAACTCGAGGACTTACACGTGCGATCTTCTACTGCCTAGACCTTCTGTGATGCCGCTATCACACGTAATGCCTTCACTCCACAATCTGGTCTCCTTCCGGGAACTTCTTATTCTGGTTTCGTACTGCACTTGAACTTTCCACAGGGCTTCGTATCCGATTATAGCCCCCGTAGATTATAAAAACAAATTATTTAATTTGCCTCTAGCTTGACTCGAACTGTTGACCTTGTCTGTAGGGGTTTGGGAGCTTAACCAATAAGCTATAGGACCCAAACCATACTGAACAATTTTTATTTAATAAAGTAAATCAATTTACTTAGTAAAATTTTTTGTAAATAATAAAAACTGCTTTTATTGAATAATAAGCTACTTGTAATATTTTTATATAATTTTTCCAAAAAAAAAGGTAGCTTATTTTGGGAGATATATGGTAATCAATTTGTTGATACCAACTAATTAATTAATTGATTAATTATAAAAAATAATTAATTAATGAGTTGCTACTAATTGTTAACTAAAAAAAAAAAATTAATCAACTAATTGATTAAAAAATTAACAATTTGTAATATTTTGTAAAGATGCTCTTACTGCCTTCTAATGTTATATCAAAGATACAGCTCATAGATACTGGTATTTTGCATTATTTAAACTTCATTATCAGTGTATACAACTTCAACATGCAATAGATCATGATAAGGCTGATGAGTATGATATATATGAAATTGATCAATTATAAGCTATAAGATAAACAAAGGTTGCCTGAGGTAAAGTTTTTACTAAAACAATTAAAAATTGTTGGCTTCATACAAAAATTATATTTTCTCATGATGATGATGAAACACCTATCAGTTTTTCTACTTTTGTTGATAACAATAAAGATATAAATGAATATTTGCCTATAGATTCAAATAATACTAAAGAACTTTAGCAAGTAATTGATACGTTATGTGTTTGCAATCTAATATCTCTTGAAGATTTGTTAAAAATCAAAGAACATAAAGAGTTACACTAGAATTTAATGAAAAAGACCATCCAGGCTGTCACAAAAATAGATCAAGTAGATAAAGTCATAATACTATCCTTAATTAGAAAGAAACAGTTGAATATTTTACATAGTGCTCTGAAAATTGTTGATAAGAGAATTGATGATAGTAGAATAATAATGAAGTCTTTATACAAACTACAATCCTGTATCTGTGAAGAGGTTTGAAAAGAGAAAGCCAAAAGACAGATTCAAATTACATTAGAAAGGTTTTTTTTAAGCTTTAATGATTTCACTTTTATTATAAAAACAGGTGTGAATCTTTTTTTTATTTATTTTTTTATATAAGTACATAAATGTATTATTATAGATTTCACTTTTGAATATTACACAATCTATACTTTTACTAAACTACAGATCTATCTTTTTAAAAAATTTTTCATGCTATAATTAGTATTAATAAAGGTTTATTAAATTTAATTGATGATTTATGAATAAATGAGAATTTGTATTAATAAAATCTATAGCAACATATATAAATATCAAAATCAATGATCGATGATCTCTCTCTCCTGACCACCTGCGTTTAGGATTGAGAGTAATTTAGGGAAGACAAAATTAATCTATCAAAGAGTTCGCTTTTCTTCAAAAACAGTACCAGAACAGGGG